AATGTCTCATTCATCAAATGGGAAAAGGAAACTCGCTTCTTCGAAACTTCAGGTGTTTTGTTAGCTTTCACTATCAACACGAGAATCCAAAAGAGGCCGACACGAAATTCAGATAAGTAACATTCTGTTTTATACAATATCTGTTTTTATCACTAGAGTGCCATTAAATTGTGTATTTATATTTCTAATCTCTAGCATTATACAATAGTTGTTAATAGTAGCAGGTCATGTGGTTCTTTTCTTCGTAACTATTCCGTAGAGACGCCACATTCCTTATCAGTAGTCCGTTCTTATCAGCAACTCACACTCTTCGGAGCCCCCCCCCCCCCATTGTTTCCTGCTTAGGAATTTCTTGAGAGGGAAAAATGGGTATCTCTTGACCATCGATGAGTATAGATTGTGATTTTTGTAACTAAGTTCCCCACTTTTTTTTTCTCAGGTCTCAAACTTAGAATTATGAGCAAATAAAAATACAGTGTGACGGAATTTGTTAAACTTGTACTATAATAATTACAACGCTTAAATTAATAAATTAATTTTATATTAACTATATTTAAGAAAAAGTAAACTGCATAATTTATTTTTGCTGAAATGCTCTCACACTGTGTATGGATTTTATGATTTTGTCCCAATTACTGTTTTTATGAAATATACATGAATTTTTGGGAACGGTAATATTTAATGTTACTTTAGTAAATATATGTATCTCTATGATGATATACAGTGTCTCAAAAAAGTGATGGGACACTTGTGCTTTACAAAAGGAAACTGCAATAAAATAAATTTAAAAACATTGTAAAATTTTTTGGGGTGTGTTTCATACTTAAATTTAGTAAAAATTGTTAAACATACATTTTCTCAAAATATTAAATATTAATTTAATAAAATAAATGTTTAGAACGGAGCAGAAAATGGCTCACTTAAGTGATGGGACACTACTTTTCCATCTATTTATCCAAAATTTTACTTTTTAAAAGGTTTTAACATTTTGTTGGATTCCTTTTACTTTAAAACATGATTTAATCTAATTCAGAAGTCAAACAACAAAAATCAGCGTAATATTACAAAATTTTCACAGGACTAGTTTCGATGGTTTACCAAACCACCATCTTCATTAAAGCCGCAAATGAACAAGATAGGAATAATGATTAGATAAGATAGAAAGCCTGGACAAGAATAAGCATGTGGCGCCATCTGTTGGCGAAACCAGAACTAAACATAATTTCTCTAAAAGCCGAAGGCAAATTTGGATTGGAATTAGGATCGTTAACTAGAACAGAAAGATTTTGTGAATGTGAATGCCTCTAGAAATCCAGTTCTCCAATGGAAGATGTTTTTTGAATATTTGGCAGCAGAAAAATTGAAAGTGTGATTTCGGACAAATAATGTTGAGCAACAGAAGACTTCTGTGTTTCCTTTTTTCTAACATATGCCTCATGTTCTTTGACGCATATGTTAAAAAAAAGGAAACACAGAAGTCTTCTGTTGCTCAACATTGTTGGTTTCAACAATGTTCAACATTCGAATTAATATTTATTCGGCGTGTTATTGTGTCTTAATTATGATTTAATCTTCTTGGGATGGATTCGACTAATTTTTTTGTGATTTCTGGAGTGATTTTACCCCATTCTTCTGAAGCACCGATTTTAATGTTTGTTTTGAAGAAATGTGTGTGTTGCGAATTCTTGATTCCAATTTGCCAAATATTCTCTATGGGATTTAATTTTGGAGGTTTTTTTATTTCAGGACAGTTATACAGCAGTCTGTGTCTGACGTTCAAGCAGTGGTGCTTTTTTCATACCATTGTCCTGGGAGAATGTAAATCGTTATGAAGGTTGTCGGTGCTGAAGATTTCAAATTGATTTATAATGTCAATATACTTGTACTGATCCATTATACTGTCAATAAAAACAAGAATACCAACTCCAGCGGACGACATACACCCCCATACCATAATCCTCCTCCACCATGTTTTACTGTGGCACCAAGTCCTGTTTGCGAAATTCTTCCCTGAGTTTTCTCCACCAAGATTCTACCGTCAGAACCAAATATATTAAATTTACTCTCATCGCAAAATATAACTTCATTCCAGTATCAGAATTCTATTATGTTGATTTGAGAAAGCTGTCTGAGTTTTCTATTCTTTCACTTACGAAAATTTTCCCGGCTGCTCTACGTGATATCCAGTAGATCGAATTTCTTCTAATAGTCTCAGAATTAACAATACTCCATATAATGTTTAAATCAGCTGCAACTTTAGGAGCACTCATTCTTGGATTTTTTTAAATTTCGAACGATATTCGCTTCATTCCATTGGATAGCTTTGATGGTCGGCCAGGTCTTTTATACTGAATCATATGATTCTTTTTATATCGTTAAATGATTAAAACGTTGAATAGACTAAAGTTAACTGTTCAGTAGTTTCTATAATAGATTTTCCACGTTCAATATGCAAATTAATAACTAATTTTCGAATTCAGGCAAAGTTTCTTTTCATTAGCATTCATGGCTGCACAGAGCTAAAAAACCAAAATTCCAAAACACTGGAGAAAATACTGCAGACGATTTTAAATTATTGGCAATTGCTTTTGAGTAAAAATAAATACCCCAAAAGATATTTTTATTGCTTACTTCAGACGACTTTTGTTGCATAGTACGTAGTGTCCCATCACTTAAGTGGCCATTTTGCTCCATTCTAAGCAATTTTATTTTATTAAATATATTTTAATATTTTGAGAAAGTATGTTATGTAATACTTGTACTAATTTAGTATGACACACCCACCAAAAGTTTACATGTTTTTTTAAATTTATTTTATTGCAGTTCCTTTTGTAAAGCCAAGTGTCCCATCACTTTTTGCGACACTGTATGTCTTTTCTAGTAGGTCTCAAGATAAGGGCATACACATTCCATGTAGGATTCATTTATTTTTTTTTTTTAACTTAGCTAAAGTTTGCTTCTTAAGACAGAATTTTGCAAATGAACCTTTTAACTACACTCATGGACACATCGATTTTAGGTTTTTCTCTTTGCCTTTTCTTCTATAGGCCCTTTTTTTTCTCCCTTCTATTATTTTTGGGCCATTTATTTTAAATTTTATTTTGTCCCATCTTTTCTTTCTGGCCTTTTGAACTCGTACAAAATGTACGAAGTTCGTTTTTACTCTCCTCAAATACGAAATTGTTCCCCTTTCTATATACCTTTCTTTCGGCCCTATGCTTGATTTTTCGTCCATCCGTGCAGAAAGACTTAGCAGGTGCAAAACAAGACATCTGTCTACTTTGGCTGTCTGTCTGTTTTTACAATGTCGAAGCAAAGCTTATGGAAGTTTAGACGCGAACGGGAAAATTTACTCCTTTTTTTATTGTATCATGCAAAACAAATTAGTTCAAGTTCTCCAATGAGGAAATGTGTACCTGATAATCTTAAAGGTAAATCCAAGAGTTCACAAGAATGGCTAACTAGGCAATTAAATGACATATATGTGAAGAAGTGCAGGTATGATCGCTACAGATGTCGAAGTGCGTATAAACTGTTGGAAATTGACGAGAAGTACAAAATCCTTAAACCAGGTTTTTCTGTGATAGACTGTGGTGCAGCTCCAGGATCATGGACTCAAGTTGTTTTGCGAAAAATGAAACTTGATTCTGCAGGTTAAGTAATGCATACTCTTTCTTAAGGATAATTTTTTTAGAAATATATGAATTAATTGATACTAAAGGTGCGTTTAATTAGCTAATATTAAATTGTAAGAGATTAATTTAGTCGTAGGAGAGCTCGGATAACTGACATTTAACATGGAAATTCTGCAGTTATGTTTTTGTCATTATGAATTTTTTTTTTTTTTTTTTGTATAGAAAACATAACCTGTGCTATTTTAAGTATTGCTGTCAAATTTATGAGCAACAAGCATAATGAAATTTTCTTATAAAAGAGAGTATGTATAATAAAGACAGAGGTTATCAAAATCCAATTCAACAAAATCAAGTTAAAATAACAATTTTGGGGTAAAGTGCAGAATCGCATACTATTGTTTGGCGTTTTTTTATAAGAGCTAAGAAGAATTGGATTTTGTCAATTTTTCTTTGACCTTTTTAGTGAAAATAAGTCATGTGTACAATCAAAGTTAAGGGAGGCGCCAATGGCCATTTTGGCCATTCTGGGATGTTTTTTTGCAATAGATCGATGTGTACATGGATACCGAGTATGTGCATTCTTAAAACTGCCAAGCGTGGGTGATTCTGCACTTCCCAATTTTTTTTCTTTCTTTGTATTTATTTTTATATGCATTGGTACAAATGCCCCCTATGCATGTCACAAATCGTGCATAAAACTTAAAAAATATGTAAAATTAACTGAAATAGACCCTTCAGTAGTCATGTTAGATTTATACTACCTCAACTTTCGTACCAAAGACTTCATAACAAAATTTAAAAAAAAAAAAAAAAAAAAATTATAAAATAAATTTTTCATTACAAATAATTCTAATTAGTCATGGCTGTAGCTAGGATTTAATTTCGGGAAGGGCGTTGTGACTTTTATCTAAAAACAGTGCTTTTGTAACTGTATTTATAAATGAAAATTGCAGTTTCAGAGAGGGGGTTGCAGCTCATTTCAACTCCTTCCTAAATATTGCCATATGAATTAGTCAACAACAATCTAATGATAATATGTATTTAGAGAGAGAGAAAGTAATATATAATTTTCTGGGCATAATATGAATAAAAAGGATGTAATATTTTTTTGAGTTTCTCCAGATGGTTGCTATTATTACTCATGGTGTCACCAAAGTCATTTAGAATCTCTAATATGAAAACTTAAGAAACTGCATTGCAAGAATATAAATTGTGATGTAGTAGTACTTGTTAATAACTAATTCAAAGTATTTTATGTCATATGGTGTGCTATAAAATACAGTACAAAGTCTTTAATCCTGACTTCAGTGATTCCGGATTAGGGTTTTTTCCGGATTATAGATCATCAATTTAAATCTGGTAGGATGGCATGCAGAAATTATAAAATTAAAAATATGAGACTATAATTTATGAAATAAAGAGCAATTATGATCTAAAGGGTATCAAAATTTACAAAAAAAAAAAAAAAAAGCTTAAAATTTATTTGTTTACCTTATTAAATATTTCTTTCAATGTAAGTTGTTTAAGTTGCTTCATTTTTATGTGCTAATACTTTCTCTTTAATTCTATAAACAGACATAATTTCTTGTTTATTTACAAAGTTTCTCTGTTTAAGTCCTGTAATTGCTGTGCCGAGAATACCGACTAACTTGTCAATCGAAATTTTTTCATTTTCACTAACCTCTCTGTCACTTTCTTCATGCCTTTATCCATTTTTTGCAGCAATTCCACTTTTTATTTGATGGACATCGAAACATGCTTTCGCTTTGTAGATCCTTTGGCAGCTCCAGAATCGGAAACTCTTTTTGACATAATCGAAAGTTCAAGCTTACTTTTTATAAAATTGCTCTAACAATCTGTAAAAAATAATAAGCCGGATCCAATTAGAAGATTAAGGAACAGCGCAATCTTCAACATTAACTGAAATAGATAATTTTAGCCTAGCTTATACCATCCGTTACGTATTATGTGCAGAAAGTTTGTAGCTTTGAGGTCCGGATTATAGATAATTTCGGATTAAAGACTTTGTACTGTATATTACATTGCATAAATATCTTAGTGAGAATATAAAATATGCAACACAAGAAATAAAGTGCATGCAAGATGTGCATGAAAATTTAATTTCCTTACATATTGATTTGTCATTATTATATGATATCATATTTCAGTGAGAAAAAAATTAGGGAAAAATATATTTCAGGCTACCCATTGGTGATTTTTGTTTTTGGTACAATTCCTGTTTACGTGCAAGTCACTCCCAAGTAAAATAGCATCCAAAACATAATGGAATAAAACATAAAACAAATTATAGTCTCAATAAACTGCATTTTAAATCAAAATAAAACAAGGAAATAACATAAAAATTAAAATACGTGTTATCTAATCTGAGCAGTACAAAAAGAAAATATTGAGTTAACTTCAATTTCTGTGTCTTCGGTATGGTACACAGAATTCTTTAACAGCATCCAAAAAACTTTAAAATTATCTGAACTAGATTCTATATACTGTATTCTATATTCTATATTAAGTATTCCTTGGCCATTTATTAAATATGTATATTTTACTTAAGTATACGTTGCCATTTATTGAATCCTTTGTTTTAGCAAAATACTTATAAACCACAGTTGCTGTTATTTCAGATTAATAAATTCTAATTATTAATAAACAGCCTATGAATAAAATTTTTTAAATGTGAAATATTATGTTAAAATGATAGTACATGCATATTTAAAATTCAGTATTTAGAAGTCAAATGAATTCAAGAAATATGGAATTAAAAAAAAGTAACAAAGAAAATAATCTTCATTACTAATCACAAAGTTCATTCATTTCACACTTCTGTCTTGTCCTGCACTGCTGATATATGCACATTTCTACCATAACAGTATTTTTTCATTTACCCTGGGTTGGAAAAATTGGTTTTAGTGATTATTCTTATTAACAAATTATGCATACAGTGATATTCGATAATGTCCAGGCTTCTCAGAAGTAAAGGGGATATTAAAATAATATATTTACAGGGTATATTTAGTTTTATCTTTCTGAGAAATAAAAAAATTAAGTTATAAATAATGTTAATATGATTTAAACTTATTAAACTGTCACTGGCCCAAATGGCTTAATAGGCCATTATATACAAGAGCATTATGAATAAGAGATTCTATTCTGGATATAGCTTTGATTTAATCATGACAAGATCCTTTCTTACATGGACGATTTCTTTCACAACAATACCAAGTACATGCGTGGCATCCTAGGAGCAACAGCAAATAGCCTTCACTACATTTGATAATGTAAACTAACACAGGAGCTACAAGGAAATTGTAGTTACTTTCTGATTATCCGCACTTCCATTAAAAAGTTGGGAATATGTCGCTGAATGTGGAGATTTGCAGATTTATCGCAGACTAATTTTTTGCCAAGCTTGGAAGGCAAGAGCCATTTTAAAAATGACAGTTGTCTATTAATTCCCTACAAGAGTAAACAATAAAAAATTTAAAGAAACATTGGTAATAAATATTTAACTTTTTCACAAAATACTTCTTTTTTGTGCAGTTGTTTATGTAATGTAGACTGTGATCTGTTTTTATTTAATGAAAAACATTAGAGAATTTCAGAAATTTTGCATGCAGAATAATAGATATGTGCTATGTACTCTACGCAAAAAGAAAAAAAAAAAAGGGGGCGGCACATTTCTATATTTCCTGTTCTACTGCGCCGATTGACTAAATTCAACTTGTGTTTTTCATGTCTCGAAAGCGCAACTAAGGATATGTATTAGATTTATACCCTGGTTATCATAAATTAAGGAAAAATCACAAAAATAGTGATAACTCCCTTAAAAAAAAGCCAACTGTGTAAAATTTGAATATGTTGCCAAGAAAGAGTAGCTGAGTAAAACTGCAATATTCAAATTAGTGGTGCTGCACTCGGAATACATCATCTGCGATTAGAATAAAAGTCCATGTTTGAGAGCAAGCCCACATATTTCATTGTGATAATGACATCAGAAGTCTGAGATAGCCAGTTCGTAACAATGACCTTCAGGCATCATTTGCCTGCAGAACTACGATGGAGAACCATTGGGAGACTAGAGGCAGGATAAAGTCAAACAAAGTGGCAGATGGCTAAATGCGAGTCCTTCTGTGGTTCATAGACTTTGGAGGGACCGTTTGCAGTAGGCACGAACATGTCCACTGGACGCTTGATCAATGGAGGGCTGTTCTCTTTACGGATGAGTCCAGGTTTAGTTAGAAAGCGATAGTAGGTGTTATTTGATATGAAGAGAACTGGAACCATTATCAGTTCAAACCCGTTAAATATAGCAATACGGAAGAGGCAGTGTCTGTGTTTGGGGTGGCATCTCTTTGGGTGGATGCACGACCCCTCCATGTCTTTCCAATTAAACCGGTGAATGCTCCGTTTTATAGAGATGACATCCTTGATGCTTATGTGCGCCCATGTGCCGGGCAATAGGTGATGCTTTCCTGTTACAGGACGATAACTCAAGACCACACAGGGCTCGCATCGTAGATATTATCTTCAAGGGAAAACAATTATGTGCATAAGAGTGGTTCAGCTCGATCCCCGGACTTGAATCATCGAGCCGTGAGATGATTTAGAGAGACGTCTAGCTGCTCTCAGTCTCCCCTCAGACCCTTGCCGTGCTTGCCAACAGCTTGCAAAAGCTCTCGCTTCCTATGGAACTAATGACCACATAATTGAAGATCACGCATCACTTTATGTGCTGTATTGCTTCTAGAGGCAACCATATTCCCTACTGAAGGTACTTTTCCTATAGCAAACTGACACCTTTGATTTGTTCATTTTATACATGTGCTAATTTCAATACTACCATAATTCTCTGATAATTTATTTTTATGTTATTTGATATCTTACTATGTGTTGTATATTGTGGGTAAGTCTCATAAAATTCTACATGTAACTTTTCCAGTAATCGTGACTTTTGTGATTTTTCTTTAATTTATGATAACCTGTGTATATAGCATTTTTCTAAT